CTCTTCATTTAAATCTTTAATATCTTTCAATATAAATGCTATTCTTTTCTCCCAGAACAGTTTCTATGAGCATTGCTATTATTTTTCTAGGTGTCCTTTATTTTTTCTTGCTATTTCCAGTGGTATATTTCCTCAGTTTGCTCTTGATGTGCAAGTATGTATTTACTTTTGTATACTGATTTTGTATCTAGCAACCTTGTTAAATAACTGAGGCTTATTTGAAAAGTGAATTTATTTCTTCTATTACAATATTTATACTCTATTTCTTTTTCTTATCTTCCATGCCAAAAATTCTAGTACAATGTTAAATAAAAAATAGCATTAGTAGGCATTCTTGTCTTGTTCCTGATTTTAAAGGGAACATGTCAACATCACTGAGTATGATGATTGATGGAAGTTTTTGATAAATACTTTTACGCAGCTTAAAAAGAAGTTCCCTTCAATTCCTAATTTGCTGATAATCGTTGTTATGATGACTGAATGTTGAATTTTATCACATTCTTTTTCTATCATTATTAAAATAGTATTTTCCTCTTTAATCAACTAATGATGTTAATTTGCATTAACACATTTTTCTAATATTAAACCAAACAGCATTCTTGGGATACACAGAGCTTGATGGATTCAATTTACTAATACCTTTTAAAGGACTTCTGCATACCTACTCATAAATTAGGCTACTTCAATATTCCCTTCTTATACTGTTCTTATCTGGTTTTGACATCAAGGTTACACTAGCCCCATAAAATGAGTTAGAGAGTGTTTTCTCTTTTTCTATTTTTTGAAGGAGTTTGCAAAAGATTAGAATTATTTCATGAATGACTGATAGAACTCCCCATAAAAATGCCTAGACCTTGTGAAAATATTTCTGTAATACTTGTGAGGCTATTTAGGTTTTCTACCTCTTCTTTAATCAGCTTTGATATGTTATAATATTCTAGAAGTCTATCCATTTTGTCTAGGTTTTTAGTTAAACTGGTATAAAACTGATTATAATATTCCCCTCTTAATGTTTTAATTTACTGCAGCTGCAAAATTATCCTTGTTATCATTCCTAATCTTTTTTTTTTTTCCTTTATTAGGTAGGTAGTTTGTCTACTGTAGTAATCTTTTCAAAGAACCAATTTTGGGGCTGTTTCTCAGGTCTTTGTTTTCTTTCTCATTTTTTATTCTTACATATTTTTATTACTAATTATTTCTATTAGTTCCTTCTTCCTATTTTCTTTGAGGTTATTCTATTGTACTTTCCTAACTATTTAAATGGAATGTTAAGCTCATGAATTTTCAGTCTTTATTTCCACTCTGATAAAAGCACCAAAGTTATTTAAGAGGATTTTCCTCCATGAGGACACTTGGTTTAAGCAGCCAGCTCCCCTACCAAGAGGAGTGGGGCTTAAGCCAACTCCTTCTGCCACCAACCTGCTATACCATGATCCTCCTCAGGGAAAGAAGCAAGGAGAGAGCGAGATAATTTGAAAGATTTAACATTTTTTTTAAAGAGTGGGAGTGTCATTTCACTGAAGGGGTTGTCTAAATTATTGAACTAAAATACGCCTTAAATTGGATGATGGTTAAGTTACTTCCCCTACCCCCACTAATCAGTTCGCTGGGCTTGTGAAACACACAAGCTTAGACAGAGAAATAAATACGCTGTCAATCTAATTTCAGTGAATAAAATTTGAAGACTCGGCTATAATAATTATTAATGACTGTTACAATTATAGTATTCTAAACTTTTTAATCAAGGACAACAAATACAGGTATTTACTAGTTTTTTCTAAGGTATTTCCCAAGCATATATTCTGGGGTCCCTGTCACCTTATTAATAGCAACATAACCTGGAAAAAGGATAGAGGCAAGTGTTTTAAAAACTGCCTCCAGAAGAACCTCACTGTTCAAGCATTTATTCATTAACTACTTTTGAGAGCCCAAATACTTTAGTTCCTGTTGTTATGTCAGGTGCTGGGGATACAAATGGCCAACAAGACAAGACACAGAGGTTGCCTGCACACATTTATAGGCTCATGGGGAACAGAAACAAGTCACAGGCAGCTCTCAGGCCTGATGACAAATACATTACAAGTAGCACGGGGTGCAATGGGAGCACACGGTATGGGGACCTGGCCTTCAGGGAAGACCTTTCTTGAAGAAGTGACAGCAAGCAGAAGTGACCCAGGCGAAGTGAGAGGAGGACAGAGCGTTTGAGGAAGGGTTGACCGGTTCAAAGGCTGGGAGGCCAGTGAGGACGCCTGATACACTCAGGCCTGGAAGAAATTCAGAATGGCTGTGTGTCCAGGGGTAGGCGGGAAGCAGGGAGAGAGGTCTAGAAAGGTAAGCCCGCAAATCAGGCGGGTCTCATAAACCACAGGAAGGAAGGTGTCTGGATTTACCCTGAGAACCACAAGAAAACACTGGGGGCATAAGTAGTGCCCTGCCAAAGTTAATGTTTCCCGTGACATTAAAACATACTAGAAATACATGTTATTGCAGGAACACCAAAGTCCTATGTAAATATCTAGCTGCCTGAAAGCGACTTATTTATTTTTTTCTTTTTGGGGATCTCAGATAGAGAAGTAATCTATACAAATTCTGAGGGAAAGAACATGTTTTCATTAATACCATACATTTTTCCAAGGGGAACTCAAAGCACCTTGGGACGAACCTAAAAATACATATCTGTTAAATAAAATTGCACTCAGTAAACACTAATGAAGGGCACAAGAACAAACGTCTGATCAGAGAAGTTGGTGTTTTATAAAAACATGCCGAATGGATCTTGCCCTGGCAGAGCACCAAGACAGGCCGCCCTCCGGCCTCTGCCTCGGTCAGCGGACAGCCGGCCCGGCCTGCGTGCAGTCCCTCTGCATGACGGTCCATTCGTCAGAAACAAGTAGGACTTAGTCCCTTCTACTAAAATCGGCTTACTGGTAAGCACAAATTATTTACTATAAATATAGTAATTAGCAAAGATTTGGTAAATATTAATTAATGGTATATAAAAATATTTACTTTATAAATAGTCTTTAAGAAAATGGGCAAATAGGAACCCTAGATGTTCCTCAGGCATTTCAAATTTAATATATGCAGAACCAAACCCATTACCCTATCCAGAACGTGAGATAATCTATAAGATAACTTAGATTCTTAAAACACACACACGCACACACACAAAACTCAGTGTAATAAAAAACAGTAACAACAGTTATTGTTTTATTATATATATCTCCACCCCCTCTTATTTATTTTCATTAATATATAAATATATATATCTCCCAAATGCAATGCATGAACCTGATGGAACTCAGGTGGGGGCAAGGCAGTTATTAAGACACAATTTGGGGATAACTGGGGAAATTTGACTTTTGGACTGAATATTACACATTATGAAATTAATGTTAATTTTCCCAGGTGTGACGCTTGGAGTTATTGTGAAAATGTTGGTGAATATCCCTAATTTAGGAGATACACACGTTACGTTTAAGGGTACAGTGCTGAGCTATCTGCAATTTACTTTCTAATGTTTAATGACAGGGTGGGAAGCAAATGTGGCAAAATGTTAACAAGTGGTGAGTTGGGGTCAAAGGGTACACAGGTGTTCATTATAGTAATCTTTCTACTTTTATATACACTTGAAATTTTTCAAAGAGAAAGAAAAACAAGTAAACAACACAAACAGCACATTGAGCTATTTCAGGTAGAGAAACACTAAGCCATTGGGCCTCACTAAAGCTGCTGAACAGGTAAAAGAAAGAGATCAAATCAAATGTGGGTTGGTGTAAGGTGACAATTTTACTTCATAGAATGAGGGTTTGGAGATGTACTTCTGAGGGAAAGGCAATTCATGTCCTTCCCAGACCTGCGATATTGATATCCTCTGTGCCTCACAGAGCTAAGTCCATGGGGACCTCCTGAGGCACGACATTATGAAGAGAGAGAATAGCACCGCTGCACTGTTGTAAAATCTTCACTGCTCACCAGCGGTCACTGCTGCTTTGTCGTCCTACGCAAGTCCCTCACTGTCCTGGAATCTCCTCTCTTGCCTCCCACTGCAGTCCTCCTGACTAACCTCATTCGTTCCCTCACCCTTTGCTGTCACCCGCACGGCGAAGAATTTGCCAAATGGTAGCCCTCACCTCGTACTGCAGACGTCTGAGCCCAGGAGTCCGGCCTCCTTAGCGGTGTGTCCCAGGAGGCACCCCACAGCCTCACACCACTCCTGAACTTGCCATCTCACTTCTCGGACTCCTGCTCCTTCCCCCTTTTCTCTGTGAAATCTATGGTCCTACCAGTATGGGTCTTTAGAGGGCTTTAAAAAAGTCTAGCTTCCTTTCCTCAGTATTGTTACAATTCTCAACATTACAACAGGAGAAGCTAAGGACCAAATGAGTAACTCCCCGTCAAACAGTAACAAAATTTCTGGCTTTCTAAGATCCACTAAGTCTCTCCACCCAGGGTTGAGAAGGAGCTGGAGTGTCACCCACTTCCACCGTATGTCCTCTTTGTGGGATATTACTCTGTGGTGGTCAGGGCACACACCTCAGATGAGGGGCAACGTGCCCGCCATCTTGCCCAGTCCTTCTCTGGAAGGGTATGTTAGAAAGCTCTTCCTTACACTGAGCCCAAACTTACTTCTCGCGACTTCTGCCTGTTGTTCTTTTTTCAAACTTCAAATGAAATTTCTCTTCCCCCAACAGCTGCACCTGAAAGCACTGCACAGGAGGAGGACTGGTAGCAGCAGCCCCAGACCAACTGGGAACCGGTGACCTCGAGGGAGCTCAGGAGCTCTCATAGGCTGTGGCCTGAATAAGATCAGTCCACCCAGTGGCAACAGCACATTGGGAAGGGCAAAGTCTGCAGGACATTGGGTCGGGGAAGCTGGGAGGGCTCCATCTAGGCAAGCACCTTCTGTTAATGGCATTTATTTAATGAGAATAAAAAGAAAGCATGATAAACTAAATAGGAAGGGTGGCTCAGGATAGAAAATAAACATGAATACTTACCTCTCCTTGGAAGCTCTTCAGCAGTGGCGCTACCTGCTTGCGTAAATCCTGGAGCAAGAGGAATGGGTCAGGAATCAGCCATTTGAGAAAAAAAGAGAAGGAAACATTTGTTAAGGCCTCCTAAAAACAGCTTTGAATTTAGTGATAATTATCACTACATAAAGCAATCCTGGTCCCTCTCCTGTTTCGTTCCTTGATTCTTGCGACATTATGCCAATTGGCCCCCCCTATAGTTTCCATGAACTTAAGAATACCACTAGATTTATTTCTACTAAATTCTGGTTATATATACTATTCCTCATTTCTTTTTTTTAAATGTATTTTATTGATTATGCTATTACAGTTGTCCCATCCCCCCCCCTCATTCCCTCCGCCCTGCATCCTCCCTCCCCTTAGTTCATGTCCATGGGTTGTAAATATAAGTTCTTTGGTTTCTCCATTTCCTATACTATTCTTAGCCTCCCCCTGCCTATTTTGTACCTACTATTTATGCTTCTTATTCACTGTACATTTTCCTCCATTCTTCCCTTCCCTTTCCTCTCTGATCTCCATTTCAGTGATTCTGTTCCTGTTCTAGTTGTTTTGCTTAGTTTGTTTTTGTTTTTGTTTGTTTTAGGTTTAGTTGTTGGTAGCTGTGAGTTTGTTATCATTTTACTGTTTCTGATCTTCATCTTTTTCTTAGATAAGTCCCTATATCATTTCATATAAGGGCTTGGTGATGATGAACTCCTTTAGCTTTACTTTATCTGGGAAGCACTTTTTCTGCCCTTCCATTCTAAATGATAGTTTTGCGGGCTAGAGTAATCTTGGATGTAGGTCCTTGTCTTTCATGACTTCGAATACTACTTTTTAGACCCTTCTTGCCTGCAAGGTTTCTTTGGAGAAGTCAGCTGACAGTCTTATGGGAACTCTTTTGTAGGTAACTGTCTTGTTGCTTTTAAGATTCTCTCTTTGTCTTTAATCTTGGGTAATTAATTATGATGTACCTTGGTGTGTGCTTCCTTGGGTTCAACTTTGGGACTCTCAAGAGCTTCCTGGATCTCCTGGAAGTCTATTACCTTTGCCAGATTGGGGGAGTTCTCCTTCATTATTTTTTCAAATAAGTTTTCAATTTCTTGCTCTTCCCTTTCTCCTTCTGGCACTGCTATGATTCAGATGTTGGAATGTTTAAAGTTGTCTCAGAGGTTCCTAAGCCTCTCTTCATTTTTTTGAATTCTTGTTTCTTCATTCTGTTCTGGTTGAATGTTTTTTCTCTTCCTTCTGCTCCAAATCGTTGATTTGAGTCCCAGTTTCCTTTCCTTTACTGTTGGTTCCCTGTGTATTTTTCTTTATTTCACTTTGTGTAGCCTTCGCTTTTTCCTCCATTTTGCGACCAAAATCAAGCAATTCTGTCAGCATCCTGATTACCAGTGTTTTGAACTCTGCATCTGATAGGCTGGCCATCTCTGCATCACTTAGTTCTATTTTTGGAGCTTTGATCTGTTCTTTCATTTGGGCCAGATTTCTTTGTCTTGGCATGCCTGTTATATAGGAAGGGGCGAAACCTTAGGTATTTGCCAGGGTGGGGCAACCCAAGTGGCTGCCTTGTGATGCTGTATGTGGGGGAGGTGGTCTGAGAGGGAACAATACCACTTGCTCTCGCTTTCAGTCACTTCCCCTGCTACCCACAAGCAAATTTGGCCCTTCTGGTGCTGATTCCCAGGTGGGTGGGTTTGTGTATGTTCTAGGACCCCGTGGTTCTCTCCAGTGGACTCTCTTGTGAGGCTGGGAGTTTGTCCCACTGCTACAACCCCCATGCGTTTTTACCTCCAGGGGTTTCGAGGCTTTCTCTTCCTGCACTGGAACCCTGGGTTGCGTGGTCTGTCTTGCTCACCAGATGTTCCTCCCGGTTTATCCGCACACAAACATGGGACTGCCTGGTCCGCCAGCTGCTCCCCTGCGGGAAAGCCTCTCCGCCCCGGCTGCCCGTCTCTGCCCCTTCAAACGGTCTGGATGAATGTTTGTTCTTTGCTCCTTCGTTGTTGGACTTCCATACAGTTTGATTTTCTGGCAGTCTGGTTATTTTTTGTTTTTAAATTTGTTGTTGTCTTCCTTTTGGTCATGTGAGGAGGCAAAGTGTATCTACCTACGCCACCATCTTGGCCAGGAGTCCTGTTCCTCATTTCTAATGTGCTGTGGGCTAAAGTTTTTGCTAATGTTAGTCTGAAATAATTTACTTACAATAAAAAAGAAGTCTACACAGAAGATTTGACTAATTTGTATCTGAAATGGATTTGGGCTACTGTCCTGCATTTTAGTTTTTACTTCTGAGCACTGTTCATAGGAGATACACCTATTTTGAATCCATGTTTGATACAGTCACTAAGAATTTTATCTCAAGCCAGCACTACCCATTATTTCCTTGGAGAAGTCAGAAGTCAATACGTTTTGCTCCTCCTTTGGATCACTTTCTATATTTTTAAACCAAATTCAATGACCAAAAAAAAAAAAAAAAGAAACTTTTTACCAGTCTCTTCTTAAATAAATAAGGCACAACAATGACTCTCTAAAGATGTCTGCATCCTGATCCCCGGGACCTATGACTATAGCTGGGTACATGGTAAAAGGGATGTCGCAGATGTGATTAAGTTAGGGATCGAGTTGGGAAGATTATCCTGGATTATCCAAGCAGATCCAGGTCCTTATAAGAGGGAGGCAGAAGGGTGGGGGTAAGAGAGGTTATGAGATGGAAGCAGGGATGAGAATGATGTAGTGGCAGAGGCCAAGGCACACAGGTGGCCCCAAGAAGCTGGAGAAGGCAAGGAAAGCCTGGAGCATCTAAAAGGAACACAACTCTGCCAACACCTCATTTCAGCCCAGGAAAACCTATTTTGGACTCTGACCTCCAGCATGGTGAGATGATAAATATTTGCTGTTTTAAACCACTAAGTCTATGCCAGTTTGTTATGGCAACAATAGGAAACAAACATATTTCATTTAGCCCACTGTACTTTTCAGAAAGATAGAGGATACAATACACATCCAAAGGGGAAGTGAGGGAAAAGAGGATAAAAAGGGAGAAGAATCATAAAAGAGAGATCACTGCTTGATCCTAGGCAGGGTCAGTGGTAAAGCCTACGTTTTAATCCCAAGGAATAAGCCAAGCTTCTTTGTTAGAAACTTGGCAACTACAGGTATTAAGGCAGGAAGTCTAAACATGAACAATTTCAATGTGTGCTAGGGTGGAGGACATGGCCTGAACTCGGCAGAGGGGAGGGTGAAGACAGAAAGAACCCTCAAGACTCTGAGGTGGGGGGGTTGGCTACCCTTTTTCCTCACCCCTCTCTCCTGGGGGAGGACAAACAGGCAGGATGGTCACACTGAGCTACTCTGGTCAAACTGCAAACACAAGATGATAGGTGGAGTTTGTTTATTGTTTGTTCTCCAAAATTGCTGACTTTGATGAAGACAATTCGCTAAGGAGGCTATATTCTCCAGTGTTCTCACTCACCAGTGGAGTGCTAGGGTGTGGATCCAAGCGGGTAAAGAGCTAACATACTTCCATGAAGTTGGTGCTGTGGAATACAAGCCTGGCTTGCAAAGATGTGCAGTGAATCTTCCTCTCAGAAGGCCACAACCCTGTATTAATCTAATTCTTTAAAAATAAGATGTGAACAGTTCATGGATGACAATCTCAATGTGATGCTTGCCTTCCACCTGTGGGTGAGAGCTGTAGCCCCTTTCAGGCCTGGGCTTCGAGAATAGCCCTTCACTTTTTAGGGAGCTATAGCCGAACCCCCATTGCAATCGCAGGTAGTTTGGGAGCCTGAGGGTGGCTGCAGGCCTGCCTTGCTGTATCTGGCAGCTGGCAGCACCTGCTGGCTCTTGAGAGGAGGTCCCTAAGGCTTCCAACAAACCTGGATTGAATACTGCACAACTGAAAGCAGCCAGGCCCAATGGCACGGGCTTTCCCTCCTGTTTCTTCTCACTGGGTCTGCAAAGGCAGCTGTGATCATAGTCAGGAGTGGATCCTCTTCCCTCCAGACTGGGGGCTGCTTGAGGGCATGGGGAATGGGTGTTAGTCCCCTCACCCGCATTTCCAGCATCCAACACAGGGCTGGGTGATATTTTGCTGAGGAAATCTAGGCACAAGAGGACTCAAAGCTTCAGAAAGCTGAGTAATTGAGGGTGGTCACATCTCATGCCAGGTCTGATGTTCTTTTTCTGGGAGAGCCGATCCTACCCCACAGTGGCCCATTCCCCATACTGTACAGAAGGGAGTGCTGCAGGTATAGTCCAGCTAGGGGCATGGGGCGTCCTCTGCGGCCCATGGACTGGTCAGCAGACTGACTTGAGCATCAACAGGGAATTGCTGGTGAGAGACTGAATGTGGCCTTGGGATGCATTTATGGGAATATTAATCTGTCTCCTCCATACCTGTGATGGGCTTCGTACAAAGGGAGAACTCAAAAGACATGGAGGCTTCTGGTCAAGAAGGCAACATAGGTAAACGTGGCTCGCCTCCTCACACGACCACACCACAATTACAACTTAATTATAGAATAACCATCACTCAGAACTGGCAGGAATCACGTTGAATGGAAGCCTAACAACTACAGAATTAAAGAAACCACATCCATCCAGACTGGTAGGAGGGGCAGAGGTGTGGAATGGGTTGGTCCCATATCCACATGTGGTGGATAAAAATTTGGGAGGGATATCTCAGGGGCAAGGAATCCCAGCCCCACAGCCCAGGGTCTCAGTGCCAGGAAGATAAGTCCCCATAACTTCTGGCCACAAAAACCAGCAGTGATTGAGTCAGGGGAAGAAACTTCTGGAGTCCCAAGTAGTTCCTCTGAAAGAACTCACACACGAACTTACTCAGACTCACTGCCTCCGAGCCCCAGCACTAAGGTAGAAGCTTGAAAGGCACCAGTGGCATATAGAGAGGAACTGATGTATCTGGAACTGGGGGACAGCTTTCTCCCAGACAGAGAGTTGGGCCGAGGCCATAGTCCCTTTGCTGAGCCCTCCTCCCCCAGACCCACAGAGCATGCAGGTGGATGCCA